ATTTGTAGTACGTTATATTTCTTTGAAGATAATAATTAAATAATTTTGACTAATGGAATAACGAATCTGTTGTATGTTTAGCTTGCATATGGTGAAGCTAATGGAATGTAGCTCGATGAGATTAACATTTCGCCTCCGAATTGAAATCCTAACCTCGAAACTCGTCGATTCGTTTCAATAGATTTTCGATATTGTTTTGGTTACAGAATCGAAAAAATAAACGTGGAGGTACAAAAATAGCGTGGCAATAAAAACAATCGACTGAGAGTAAATTTACATACGCCCGATGTTGCTGTAAACCTCGATGAAATTAAGAAGATTACATCGAATGAATTCACTTCAGGCATGCTGAATTTATATTTATACTCTGTTAATTTTATTCAGAAGGACTCTTATTACGTGAACTTTCTCATTCACTTCGATAAATCACCCTTCGCTTTTCAACCACCGAAATTAATTCTCCATTCACGAGATTCCGTACGAAACAAATTCCACGCGTCTCCAATGATCCAAGAACTCGATTCAGCAAACTGCATAAAGCAACAAACACAGAATCTACGCTCCATTAAACCCGCCTTGGTTGCTATTTATACAATTTTTATCTTTTCCATCAAGCACACGTTCGCGTATTCCTTGTTTGATCGAGTTTTAAATTATTAATAACTCATGTTTGTTCCGAAACAGCTAAGAAAACGAGACATGAAATATTCAGTGCTGTATTCTTTCGAAAACGCGACGAGGTGGTAAGAGAGAGAGAGAAAGAGAGAGAGAGAGAGAAAAGTATGCGATAAATAACAGCAAGAGTAAAGGTATATTCGCCCGGAAGTATGCAAATATTATACGCTCATTATGCGAGCAAAGTGCACGCGTGTAGGAACTTTTTTCCCTTCGTGCACTCTTTTCCATGCGTTTTACGTCGAGTTACGGAATTTTTAGTTGCATCGTTAGTCACAGAATAAAATAATTTCAAAATAATTGTGGTGTTACTCTAAACATGGCACAATGATTAAGTTAAGTTTGCAGAAAATAATTAATGGAATAATAAAATAAAAGCGTGGTTTTGTTTATTTTAATTATATAAAATGAAATATTTTTAATATCTTTGACATGTGAAAATAGTAAATTCATCAAGATAATAGAAAAATAATTCGTTTAGAATTTACAAATTTTAGAGTTACCATTGCTTTTTGAAAAGAATAAGTATTAGATTTCTTTTCCTACATATATCCTGTACGTCCCATTAGTAAATATTGGAATACTCGTACATATTGGTCTTATAATAATTGGTCCAAATTATGAAAGAAACGATTAATCATTTTGTATTGGTGAAAAAATAATCCAAAAGATGTAGTAAAAATGTGTCTAAACTACCTACAAGAATTACAGGAAAATAATGAATTAGAAATTGTTGTGTTGCGAAGAATCAAATTGTAAGATAGAAAATTCTAAAAAATCTGTCCAAAGTCAAAATTATATGAATAACTTATGGAAAGGAATAAATTATGAACAGGGATGTACTTATAAAGAATAATAAAGAACGAAAAGCATTTTCAATTTTAATCAATCAGTTCAACTATGATAGCAACATTATTTACTGATTTATTTGCACACGTACATGTATCTTATTTTGCATATTTTGTTGAAACTAATTAATGTTCATTTATGTGGGTGTGCTGAGCTAGCGAATGCAAGCTGGAGTATTGATTTAGTTGAAAACCGAAAACAGAATATGTAATTTGAATGTTTGAAAGAGACGACAGATATATAAATTTATGTATACATATCTGCATTTCATCGAAATAAAATATTTTCTTTGCTTAACAAATATTCATACAATACCAATTACCAATTGCTTTTATCATTATTTCCGTATATTTTACATAAATATTTTTAGATACGTAATGTTCTTCCAATATAAATTAATATTCGTTCATGCGCATCAACTTGATCCAACCCATTACAGGAAAGCTCATTAAAACATAAATTTCCACATTCTACGTATTCTTCATATTTATGTTTCCCAGATTATCATATTTCGAGATACTCGTACAGCTTTGGAAACGTTATAAACGTTATAATGTTTAAAGCTTCAAAAATATTTTATTGATCAAAGAACACCAGATCAAAAGAGAAAATATTGAAATGCGCGTCTTCTTACATTATTCGCATAAATATATTAAATACGATAGACGCTCCCTGGTTAAAAATACATGAGAGATAAAACGTATCTGAATTACTAGCGAAGATGAATTAATTCGTTACATGGATTTCCTGTCTTTCGAACCTAATAATTTATTCACGAATCCTTCATATTTTAATGTATCGCTCCATTTCTACTAAAAATATATTACATATTGATAGAAATACAGAGTTTGAAAGAATTACTAACACGAAAGGGAGACTAATAACAGAGAAATTAATAACAAAGAAAAAATAACACGAGTTCCCAGTTTCTTGCCAGTTCTTTTTATTCAGTGATCGGTCAAACGCTTAACGAAAGTGCTTCCTACGTTCTACGCTTACGTCATCATAGTTAAGTGGTGGAAATATAAGAACTACGACAAGTCTTTCAAGATTTTCATTCGTTTCTAACCCAAGCCAAACGAAAATGAAGCTTTGGTGAATGCAGAGACGACTTTTATTAAAGGAGGAAATTTTTCTCCGATACGAATACATATTGCGAATTTTTACGAACTCGTGATAGAAGAGAAATTTCATAAATCCTCAAGGATTTATACGAGCGTTCTTAGTAATTTTTTCATGGCCACCTTTTGAAATATAAAGTTCACCTTTTTTGAAAGCAATGTAATGGCGACTGTTAATGTCAGCAAGCATCCAAGAAACTTTTGAAACTGGTTTACTTTTCAACGAGTTTTTCATCTTCCTCTACTAATACGTTTAAATTCGGTTGCTTTGAAAATTCTCTACATACTGCACTATCTCGAAATGTGAATAAATATTTCTCTTTATCCAAAATTCGATTAAAGGAAATTTGGTTTTCTGTATTGACCGTTACCTTTAAACTAAATTTCGACAATATTCAATCGAGTTCCGTTTTATATTTACAAATTATCCCTGTTCGAACATGGATATCAATAGATATATAGGGTGATTGGTAACTGGTGGTACAAGCGGAAAGGGGGTGATTCTACGCGAAAAAAGAAATCGAAAATATACAATAAAAATTTTTTTTCATTTTTTTTTTAACTTTTCCATCGAAACAACGATCTACAGTGAGATCCGTTATAACGAGACGTGATAAAGTGTACGCGTACCGAGCGAAAATTCAAAGTCGATTTTCTCGAAAGCAAAGCCTCAAACGAAAAATTTTTATTCGATATTTTCGAGTTCTTTTTTCGCGTAGAATCACCCCCTTTCCGCTTGTACCACCAGTTACCAATCACCCTATATATCTATTGATATCCATGTTCGAACAGGGATAATTTGTAAATATATACACATGTCTAAATATACTACATATAGGTGATTATAATTAAAGTAATACGATGAAAATACGTAGTCACATATAACTGGGTCTCCACCTCAATAAAAATCAACGATAATTTTACCAAAAGCAGATGTTCAGTAATTAGAGACTGCAGCGAAAAATATGTTATATTACATCCTTCGTTACTTTTCAACGGAATTATTACAAAATTATACACATTTCCAAACATTCTCATATTGTAAAACCTAGGGATAATCTTTCTATTTTGATGATTTTAGAATTAAATATTTTGGATCAAACTCTTCGGTATTTTAAAAGTGTTAATTAAAGTTGTTCCATTTTACAATTACTGCATATTAAGACAGAGATCAGAAAATCCGCAAAAATAGACTAACCATGTTTTTCTACAGTGATATTCAGTCTTAAAAACAACGAATGGAACTTCAGATAATTTCCTACTATAAATTTCGTATTTTCTTTTCACTTTTATGTTTTAACAAAAGCATTAGCATCAACTTGAAAGGAGAAATCACATGCGTTGTTTTCGCACGTTCGCGGGGAGACGCGATCTCGAAGCGCGCCAACGGGAGTCGTAAATTCCCGTTACGATTTGCTAATCGACGCCGCGAATCGCTCGATCCCTTGTTTCTTTTAGGATAATAAGGGTAGTTAAATGAAAGGTAACGCTGTTGCTAACAGGTTATTATATATTTTCACAAACCAACAACTTCGGTGTAACACAAAATGAATATTTGTTATGAGATGACTACGAATGAGTGCGACCTGAGTCTCTAGACGGATTATCGCGTATACTGATGGATTTGTCGACTCACTGTATTCGAATTGCTGACCGCTTGACGAGATGCTTGATTGAGACTGAGCTTTTCGCCCTTGTGTTTTACCGGAGGAAAGCTTGGTGTGGGTGTGCCCTTAGAATGAAGAACGCGGATTCGTTGCTCACACTTTTCGTTAAGGAGGTGAGGGTAAACATCCGCGATGCCGATTGGTTATGACCCCTGCTAATGAAGAAGGACATGGGGAAGTCTCCCACCAGTGTGGAACGGGGTGACTTCATTTTTGGAGAAAACCAGTCGTTTCTGGTGGCCATGTGTTCGGTTTTCCGTTCGGCGACTACCCGCTTTCTCCGTGAATTTTGAAAG